ATATAAAAATTATAATATATTTTGAAATCCTGCAAACCTCACGGTGGCAAATTTTGAAATTGATTACAATATATATATTTTTATTTGTTCTGAATAATTTGGCATAATGTGCAAATTAAATTTGGCAGTCAGCCTTGCATCTTCGGTTTGATGAAACATAACATTGTTTCAATTGATTTCAAATTCAACCAATTTTATCCAGTCTTGTTTGATGTTGGCTTTTATTTGGCTCTCAATTGGTGTCAAAAATCCTCAACAGATTCTTCAAGAACCTTTCTTGGTTCAGCCGTCAATTAGGATAATAATCCATAGCAACAGTTCCTGACCTTTGGTAACTACGAAAAACTGTAAATCATGGGATAATGATGGAATAAACCATCTACCAAGTGGTGTAGGATTTCTTCCATCCACAGTATCACTGCTGTGCTTTTTGATTCGTTTTGGTCAATCATATTCCCATCCCCTAGCGGTGATATTTTCCAGAGTAAATCTAATCTGGCACCTGGGAAATCTTCAGTTTTGAAGAGGAAACATCAACGAATCCACTACGAATGGTGGATCTTCCAACGTTGCTGTATGTTGAGCCTGTTAAAGCCGATATTCTTGTTGCTCAAAGCACCACCCAGTCATTGGTTTATCAACATCTTTCATATTGAAGCACCCCTATCCAACTTGGGAACCCGATTCCCATGGTTTATCAACATCTTTCATATTGAAGCACCCCTATCCAACTTGGGAGCCCGATTCCCATGGTTTATCAACATCTTTCATATTGAAGCACCCCTATCCAACTTGGGAGCCCGATTCCCATGGTTTATCAACATCTTTCATATTGAAGCACCCCTATCCAACTTGGGAGCCCGATTCCCATGGTTTATCAACATCTTTCATATTGAAGCACCCCTATCCAACTTGGGGAGCCCGATTCCCATGGTTTATCAACATCTTTCATATTGAAGCACCCCTATCCAACTTGGGAGCCCGATTCCCATGGTTTATCAACATCTTTCATATTGAAGCACCCCTATCCAACTTGGGAGCCCGATTCCCATGGTTTATCAACATCTTTCATATTGAAGCACCCCTATCCAACTGGGAGCCCGATTCCCATGGTTTATCAACATCTTTCATATTGAAGCACCCCTATCCAACTTGGGAGCCCGATTCCCATGGTTTATCAACATCTTTCATATTGAAGCACCCCTATCCAACTTGGGAGCCCGATTCCCATGGTTTATCAACATCTTTCATATTGAAGGTCCATAAATTGGATGCCCATCCCACCTTTTGCCACTTGGCAACGGCCCAATCTCTCTGGCCGCGCCTCCCCAAACGATCCCGAAGTCGTTCCAGTGCATCAGCCTTTCCGAGCCGGGCTACCACGTGGCATGAAGGGATGATCACCATGGAAATTGCCATGGAAATTGCTGGGGAATTGATCAACTTGGTGATTTATGGGGATTTAATGGTGATTAAGGGGGATTTAATGGGATTTATGGGGATTTAATGGTGATTTATGGGGATTTAATGGGATTTATGGGGATTTATAGGGGATATAATGGGATTTACCATCTGGTTATGACTAACAGCAATAGCCATGGAAAGATCCACCCATTTTTAAGAACGGTAAACCATCTATTTCTATGGGTCATTTTCCATGGCTATGTTAAATAACCAGAGGGTAATGGATTAATAGGTTATAAAACATGAACTAAACATCATTCCTTCACTATCCACCAAAATATCTTGGGGCTTCAGAACACGGTGGACGCTTTACTGTTCACCGCTAGAACGAGTGGATGAACTCGGCAGCCGAGGGCTTTGCCGGCAATGGAGCTGGCGATCACCGGCTGTACATGTATGGCACTGGCTATGGTAGTGGCAATGGTCGTGGTACTTGTAATAAAACTTAATGCGAGACAAAGAATCGGGAGACCATCACCAGGAACTCTGGATCAACAATCACAACGTGATGATCATTCCAGGAAGGTTAATCTGAGTGAACTGGGTAGGCTAGATGCGGCTAGATGCTTGATGGTTTACCATCATTTTCTGTATTCGAAATTGTCATTAAATGAGATGGGTATCCCCAACCCTCAATCAGACACGTCTGGAAATAGGGTATCCCTAAATCCGGTCGGCCATGATCATTTTCCTTATCAAAATGCAATGTTTGGGGTATATACGGTGTTCAGACACCCACATATCATATATGTCGGGGAAAGTTTCCCCGATGTTCCATTATAACCCATCTATCCCCCTTAATTGTTGGTTATACACATATCTTGTGCTGGTTGAACATGGTTAAACTATGTTTTGTTGGTTTCATATCCCCGTGATACTACAACTATTATGTCTGATAAACCATCATTATCAACCATTGCTAACCATTACTAACCGTCATTAGGCATTATTCACTGATGGTTAATTTCTATTATTATCTCATTATAAATTCCCATTCCATGTCTATCAACCAGTACCAACTATATACTAGGAACCATTATTCATCATCATTAACCACTATTATAGTCACCGCCAAAAAGATCGAAATGTACAAACATAATCAATCATACTAAAACAGTGATGATTTATTGCTTTATCCTTTTGGGGGTTGCTGCACCACTAGTCTTAGTATTAACCACTATTAACCATGATGACTGCAGGAGATGACTGGGGAGCCGACTGGGGAGATGCCTTCAACCACCTGGTCACCGGATGTGAATGGTTTCTTACATGGAAAATGTGTGTGTTTTTTTTAATGGTTTTAGAGAAGAGGTTGGCATGGTTTCTTATATGGTTGTTAGAGGGACACTTCTGCGATAATAGTGGGCTAATCCAACGTGGCTGGGTTTTTTTTATCGCTTGCCATGTTTTCCAAGATACCGCAGGCTATAATGAACCATTACTGAGAAACTCATGGGAATGAATATACTTGGATATACCAGCAAATGCGACCCCAGCCAGAAGAAACAATTCATCACCCACTGAAAATTCCACCAAGCAAGACGACCCAAAGTTTTGTTGATTCTAAACCCCGTTTTTGTTAGTTGAGATTACATGTTTTTTGTTGAAACCCTCTACACAGACTGTTGTTTCTTCAGACCCACGCAACAGGACGCGGCTGCACGACGAGACGCCTTCAACATTTGCAGGGCAGAAAGAACCTTGCAATTTCCGTGCAAACCAAGAGGCACAGGCGCAGTGTTGGGTCCAAAAAAACGTCCAGATCTACCAACGGTGCAGTCACCAGACTTTGTTCGTGCTAGGTGAGTTGCATTTATCTACCTCTTTATCTATCTATCTATCTATCGATCTGTCTGTCTGTCTATCCATCCATCCATTTACATATACATAAAAATAACATATATATATACATACATGCATGCATACATACTGTAACTATCTATATACAATATGTGTATATATATATAGATATATATATATATATACACATATAAAATGTAATGTATATATTACATACATATCTCTAGATGTAGATACACGCATGTACACAATCATATTTTTATGATATCTGCTGTTGCCATCAGATCTGAGGCCGCAGCTTGCGTTGCGGAGGCTTCGGCAGAATGCAGTTCCAAATATTCCACAGCCTGTGGCCAGGTCTGGACATCAGAAATTTCTCGGATTTCACATGGAACACTTGTGTAAAACAAGTTATTTGAACAGTCTTGTGCATTTTTCCACTGCTACCGTGCCAGTGCAATGTAAACTGTGGAATGTAAAGTGTGGAGTGTGGAGTGTAAAGTGTGGAGTCTAAAGTGTCGAGTGTGGAGTGCAAAGTGAGTAAAGTGTGGACGGCAAAGTGTAAAGTGCAGAGTGTGGAGTGTAAAGTGAGGAATGTGGAGTGTAGAGTGTGGAGTGTAAAGTGTGGAGTGTAGAGTGTAAAGTTTGGAGTGTAGAGTGTGGAGTGTGCAGCCTAGAGTGTGGCGTGTGCAGCCTAGAGTGTGGCATGTACAGTGTGAGTGGAGTGTAAAGTGTGGAGTGTCAAATGTAAATTGCCAAGTGTCGAGTGTAAAGTGTGGAGTGTAAAGTGTAGAGTGTAGGGTGTGGAGTGTAAATTGTGGAGTGTAAAGTGTGGAGTGTGGAGTGTCAAATGTGGAGTGTCGTGTGGAGTGTAAAGTGTGGAGTGTAGTGTGGAGTGTAAAGTGTAAAGTATAAAGTGTGGGGTGAAGAGTGTGGAGTGTAAAGTGTGGAGTGTGGAGTGTAAAGTGTAAAGTGTGGAGTGGGGAGTGTAAAATGTAAAGTGTGGAGTGGGGAGTGAAAATGTAAAGTGTAGAGTGTGGAGTGGAAACTGTAGAGTGTAGAGTGTAGAGTGTGGACTTTAGAGTATGGAGTGTAAAGTGTAAAGTGTAGAGTGTGGAGTTTAGAGTATGGAGTGTAAACGGCACACTGTGGAATGTAAAGTGTGGATTGTGGAGTGTAGAATGTGGAGTGTGGAGTGTGGAGTGTAAAGTGTGGAGTGTAGAGTGTAGAGTGTGGACTTTAGAGTATGGAGTGTAAAATGTAGTGTGGAATGTAAAGTGTGGAGTGTGGAGCATGGAGTGTAAAGTGTGGGGTGTGGAGTGTGGAGTGTAAAGTGTGGAGTGTAGAGTGTGGAGTGTAAGGTGTGGAGTGTCAAGTGTGGAGTGTAGTGTGGAGTGTAAAGTGTAAAGTATAAAGTGTGGAGGGTGGAGTGTGGAGCATGGAGTGCAATGTGCAGATTGTAAAATGTAAAGTGTGGATTGTAGAGGGTAGAGTGTGGAGTGTTATCACATGTCACATCTTGCCATGCCTGCCATGGATTTTGACATTGTCGCCACTGGACGCAGCCCTGACATTGCATTTGGCAAAACGCACGCAACTCAACACGTCTGAAGTGCTGCGCCTGCCACGCAAAATGACAATGGATGTCTCCAAAGTGCTGCGCTTGCCACAAAAAACTGCAACTAATCTGCTGAAAGCCTTGCAAAAGTATTGCGCCTGTCGCACAAAACTACTTTCGATACGTTTGCAAACACGTGGAAATGTCGGGAAGTGCCACGCCTGCCATGCAAAACGACATTACAACCTGCTTTGATACCTTCGAAAAGGAGAGTGTTTTGCAGCTTCCCCCATATAGACACGGCGACGGCAGAAGCAAACCAGAGAATCGAGACGAGACATGTTGGAGCCTCAAAACGCGCATTTCGTGCAAGACCTCCTCCAGTTTTCACGCTTTGTAGCTTCAAAAGCGACGTTTTCCGACGAGTTTTCTTGTGAACCTCAAAATCTGCTACCTCAAAATCGATGTTTCGTGCGAGGCTTCCGTCAATTTTCATCACATCACAAAAAATGCCACGCCCGCACGCAATTTGCACCCTTGTCGCCACTGACGCAGCCCTGACAATGCAATTCGCAAAAAGCCCACAACATGAGACGTCTGAAGCGCTGCGCCTGCCATGCGAAATGATGATGGAGGTCTCCAAAGTGCTGCGCCTGCCACAAAAACTGGAACGCATCTTCTGAAAACGTTGCAAAAGTATTGCGCATGCGACACAAAACCACTTTCGACACGTTACGAAACACGTCTGAATGTCACGAAGTGCTACGCTTGCCAGGCGAAACGAAGCTACGCAACTTTTGAAACCTCCAAAAGCGACCGCTTTTGCAGAACTCGCCATAGGCACGGCCATACGGCCCTCACGTGGACACTTGCGAGCGGTTGCGAACGGTTGTGGACGGTTGCGCAACGTTTGGCAAACAGAGCCTCAACCCCCAGACCCCCAGAGTGAAACGGGAACGCTTGCTACGCATTCGGGAAAATGTGGATTTGACAGAATTCAGCCCGAGAAAAATGACATTTCTAGAATTGATACCTGATAACTGAAGAATACATGGATCGAACTAACTAAATGAGGTATTTACCGCCAATGCATGGGAAAATGCCAGGAAACCCTCGTTTAGGGGTTGGTCTCAAGATGGCCTGCCAATTTTTGGTTATTTTGATAGAGGAAATGATGATCAACCCTTGGGTAACCATCGTTTTGATGATCAGCCAGTTACATTCAAGCACTTGATAAGCATACAGTATGTCTAAACATTGAATTTTGGGTTTCCCAATGTTGAGACATACTTTTTTACGGCCTGAATAAATATCATCCGGTATTCTAATGTGGCGGAGAAATCCATATTGAAGGGAACATGTTCTGTGGATTTAAATGCGAGACTTCCATGGTGAGTGCGAGGCAATCTATGGACAAGGTACACCAAAACCCTGGAGAGTATCCTTGAACAGCAAAACAAGGGAATGTATCCCAAGCCCAGTTAGAAAAATTGGGGCCACCCCACCCATCCTTTGATGGCATCCCTCACCGGGTGTCCTCCCATATCCAAAGCCAGCCAGGTCAATATGCTGGGCGTCTTGTACATACGGAATACATACGCTGCGCACATTCACGGTGTATAATGTGTATATGTAGATATATACTCATATTCGGATTTGCAAATTTTATCTGTCTATCTATATCTATCGATCAATCCTCTATCTGTGCCTGTCTGTCCTGTCCCATCCTATCCTAGTTATCGAGTCTATCTAATCATTTCTAATCATATCTCATCTATCTTTTCTGTCGAATCTATCTATATATAACCTGCCTAATCGATCTAGTCTATCTCATCTATCTCATCTATCTCGTTTATCTCATCTGTCTGATTTATCTTACCTATTTGACCTATCTGATCTATATCATCTATTTCATCTCTCTCATGCATCGAATCTGTCTGATCTATCTCATCTATGTCTTCTATCCCCTCTATCTATTCTACGCCGCTCTACATTGCACTTTTCAAATCTAGTCGATCTAATCCATCTAATTATTTTGTTTCTGTCGTCGTCCGTCGCCTCAAACAGCATCACTTCACGACGGAGCTCAGCTGCTTTCTCGAAATGAACCTCTGACGGATGAGTGAAACAGGAATGAAAAAGGGCTTAGGAAGGTGGATATAACTGGGGATATCCCATAGATATGTGGGTTATACCGTATAATACCGTGGTTCTTAGCCATTTTCATTTTTGCCATGATATCCGTTGTATCATCATGTATCATCTGTATCAGCAAACCACTGGTTTCAAGTGGACGAAATATCGTGAATGCAATGTCTTCTCAGCAAAAATCCCAGTAAATCAGCATGTATCATCTAATGTCCCAGTAAATTCTAGTTTGATGCCAGATTCTGGCGCAGTAATTCTAGTTATCATCTAATGCCCCAGTGCCGCAGTAATCATCTAAATGGAATTCAAAGCTCAGTTAGATGATACCACGCCGCCGCCTGGGTCACTTCTGTTTTGGTCTCCTCAGTGGCTTGACGACAAAGCGCAAAAGGCGGTGAACTAGGGTTTATCCTAGTACCCTTCGATGTTCAAACATGGCTAGCTGGGAAATCTCCTAAAAATATCTAAAACTGAAGGTTTTAATGGGAAAATCGTCTGTAAATGCAGGATTCTCCAGAAAACCATCTTTGATTTCTGGATGTATAAATGGTGTAGAAACCAGCATGTGCAAAAATTGCTCATCATGAAACAACTCACAAAAACAAGCCATGATTGTTAAGTACCAATAATATGTTAAGACTCACACTGAGGACGTGGCCAAAAGGCGGCCGCAGTCCTTCATCAAACTTTCCCTGCGCCAAGCTTCCCGTGCCATAGGGGACATCATGGGATATGGAGGTTGCTCTGTCAAGTCATGATCATCCTGAAATCACCATGGTTGTTTCATTACGAAGTCATGATCCATGAGATGATTGACTTAGGACAAATGATATTTTGCTTTGATATATATATATATATATTATAACCCAATGTTCTTTATCCCATGACTACTCCCATGACCCTGGTTATATCCCATGACTACACCTCTATATATAACCAGCCAAATTATATTTTGGTTTGTTTGAACATGGGGCTCATCACCATCTGATGGTTCACCCACTGGTTTCTAAAAGTAGATTTCCGAGAGAATGTGATCATGACTGCGCACATGGCAGTCACTCATTGCATGGCAAATTTATGCATGGCAAACTAACGTAACTATGGAAAATCACCATTATTAGCGGGTAAATCCACTATAAATGGCCATTTTCAATAGCTATGTTAGTTTACCAGAGGGTACTTCATGTCAATTTACCAACAAAACATTGGAGAAGTAAAACACGAGTAATGCTACAACTTCTCCAAACCATACATGGTGATACTTGGGAAGACCCCTTCTGAATTGCTAATTTGTTTCACCTCTATATAAATGCATTCCAAAAATTGCGTGGTTGAATCATCTGAATATCAAAAATTGTGGACCAGGATATTTTGATATATATATAATTATATATATATTGAACACATGATGAGCTGACAGTGAACCTATGGATCTCTTCCACTGTGGACCGCCTGTTTTTCTCATTGAAAAATGGCCAAATTCGGGAGGTTTTGGGGGGATCTGACCCTGCCATTCACAAACTTCAGGGTATTGCTGTTCGTGGTATACCTACCCCTCTGAAAAATATTGGTCAGTTGGGATGATTATTCCCAATATATGGCAAAATAAAAAATGTTCCAAACCACCAACCAGTATTGCTGTTGGAAAATTTGTTTCGCTAATTTTCTCAGCTATAGAACCTCCATTTATTTCGGGGATTTTCCATTGCCACGTTTGAGAACACCGGAGGGTAGCTTCTAGCTTCGGGACTGACTTTAGATTCACCCCAAAAGGTCTACTTCATTGTGATAAGGAGGTTTCCTAAAATGTGGGTACCCCCAAATCATCAATTTTTATAGGATTTTCCATTATAAACCATCCATTTTGGGGGACCCCCATTTATGGAACCCCCCATAAGACACATCTTTCCATGAAAACGATGAGAACGATCCATCAAACTCTTCACCATCTCGAAAATCTACTGCTTTCCTGTAGGTCCTTCAAACCAATCCATTCATCAAATTTCTGGTCTTATATCCCCGTAATATTCCCGCAATATTCCCATAATATTCCCATTATTTGCCCATATCAATCATTTAGACACCTTTTCTTTTTTGGTTAGTGACTAAATCACGTGAAATCCCCATATTTCGGCTGGAAACCAGCCCCAGCCCATGCGTTGAACGATGAGTCTCAGACGTCCGAGTCGAGAGTTGCTCCTGGAGAGATGATGACTAGATATCCTTGATCTGGACCTATACCCAGTATATATATACATACATATGTATAGATCTTATATACGTATATATATATGTACATATATTGTACATATACAGTAAATACGTATAGATATATCGTGAATAATATTATACAACATTAAATATATGCATAGAATACGAACAAGATACAAACGGTATATCCATCAAATGGTTTGTTGAAGCAAGATCTGGACATATCTGGACAGTGAAGACCATCATCCCTTATTGAGGGGTGGAAATGAAGGAGCCAACGAAGATGTTTGCCAAGAGAAAAAACCAGCTGAGTCGAGATGGAGAGAGTCCAGTTGATATGGGGGTTTCCATACATGGGGTACCCCCAAATCATCCATTTTAATGGGAATTTCCCTTCTAAACTATCCAGCTATTGGGGTACCTCCATTTTAGGAAACCCCCATAGATTATAAAGTGAAATAAAGAAGGGAAGAGGAGTCGGATGGAGCATAAACATGAGGTAGAAATGATAGATCGAGGAGAACAGATCAAAATGAGTAGATGGCAGACATAGGTTGAGAACATTCAGTGTATGCAAAATACTGCGCCCCCGTGACAGATGCTCAAATGTGGCAAACTCGAAAATCACCAGCCTGTAGTTAAATAAGAGGTCTTACCGGGAAAATCATAGAACTACATGGTGAAATTTCCATTGCCAAGTTTGATTACCAAAGGGTATGTGTTGGATCATCTGTTGACCTATTAGCATGCAATATACAGAAAGGATCGCTTCCGCTGTTCTCAAACTTGGCTAGCTGGGAAATCCCCGAACTACATGAAGGTCTCAAGGGAACAAAATCATCCATAAATGGAGGAGATTCCATTAATTGAGTACTGCAACTCCGTTGTATCAGTGAATTTGTTCGGAATAACTTGACTTATCACTTTGAAGTCCATCTTTGTTTCTTGATTGAAATCCCCGTTTCGGCTCATGAAATCAAATTGTTTTTGTTCAAGCAGTTTAATGGCGATTGTCAGTTGCTGAAAAAAACATCCTGTATGTTTGTCCCCTTCTTTTCATTGAAATTCAAGATTTCTATGAATCGTTGCTACTTATATAAACCTCAATCAATATATACCCCATCTTCCTGATTGTCAATCCACATTTTGATCAACAGCTTGGTCCTCACAGGGCCATGCCGAACATGCCTTGGCCGCAGTGCACAAGGCACTCGGCAGGCGACGCCTTGGTTTTTCTGGATCAGGACTTAAGGACTTATCATCTGGTTATGACTAACAGTTCGCCATGGAAAGATCCACCCATTTTTAATAGGTAAACCCAGGTAAACCATCTATTTCTATGGGCCATCTATACCATGGCAAACTGTTAAATAATCAGAGGGTAAACCATAACTCGATATTTGTAAAACTTGGACATTCCGAACCTGTATGGCGGGTTGTATCTAGAATTCTGGAGAACTGTTTGTTGCAAATGGATGATCCAATCATCAACACTACGCCTTCAACCACCAATTTGTGGAAGTCAATACACGCATCTGAACAATTGACAATAGGGGAGATTAGCCAGCTCTGGTGTTGAGCAGAAACACAATAATATTACCCAATCATTATCATTGTAGAATACCGGGTTCTTCAAAAAAAACAATCATCCCATCAAGTACCACACCACAGAGGTCATGTCCCCTCCATCAGCCATTTCTGTTGATGATGCTCGGCACTTCCGATCACAACATTGAAGTTGGGGGTTGCGGGGGTAAGCAAGGCATCTCTGTGGTTTCATGTGGATGGCTGTGTTTTTTGAAGAACCCGGTATTACACAAAATACCTGTACAATACTGCACCATTTAACACGATATAATTCATATATAATACTACAATAATACGAAATAACATTGAATAAATCTACATCAATACTACAGAAATCTATAGAATATCACCACTACAGAAATCAACATTCCATATGAATCATGACGACTGGTGAATTTCTGAACCGAGGCTTCAGCTCTATCTGGGTCAGGACCTGGCTGGGAAGGGGATGGCAGAGCTGGCTGGGAACGGGGATATCTCGAAAAGAGTGGTGGTTTCAACAAACAAACACTATATATTTGTGCCAATTCGATTCACATCTTCCAAAGTACTTCTGAAACTATATTTACTCCTTGGTGTTTTTTTAATCATCCTTGGCTCCTTACGCAAGATCTAGGATTCAGTTTTGGGTTGGTGACATCATCTCCCTCGAGGAGAGATCCCTTCACATTCCCTGGCCCCCGTGGTGTTTCTTGATGAAATCCTGGCATGTTAAAATTTTCATGGCTAAAATAGGCTAAGATCTCCACTAGCTTTGACATCCTGATTAAAATGTTCATGGCTATAGGCTAAATCTCCAAATTTTCATGGCTATAGGCTAAGATCTCCCAATAGCCATTGACATCCTGATTGAAATGTTCATGGCTATAGGCTAAGATCTCCAAATTTTCATGGCTATAGGCTAAGATCTCCAATAGCCATTGACATCCTGATTAAAATGTTCATGGCTATAGGCTAAGATCTCCAAATTTTCATGGCCAAAATAGGCTAAGATCTCCAATAGCCATTGACATCCTGATTAAAATGTTCATGGCTATAGGCTAAAATCTCCAAATTTTCATGGCTATAGGCTAAGATCTCCAATAGCCATTGACATCCTGATTAAAATGTTCATGGCTATAGGCTAAGATCTCCAAATTTTCATGGCTATAGGCTAAGATCTCCAATAGCCATTGACATCCTGATTAAAATGTTCATGGCTATAGGCTAAGATCTCCAAATTTTCATGGCTATAGGCTAAGATCTCCAATAGCCATTGACATCCTGATTAAAATGTTCATGGCTATAGGCTAAGATCTCCAAATTTTCATGGCTATAGGCTAAGATCTCCAATAGCCATTGACATCCTGATTAAAATGTTCATGGCTATAGGCTAAGATCTCCAAATTTTCAGGCTAAGATCTCCAATAGCCATTGACATCCTGATTAAAATGTTCATGGCTATAGGCTAAGTATTCCCAAAGTTTCATGGCTATAGCAAGATTCCAATAGCCAGTGACATCCTGATAAAATGTTCATGCTCTAGGCTAAGATCTCCAAATTCAATGGCTATAGGCTAAGATCTCAATAGACCATTGACCCATCCTGATTAATGTTAGGGCTATAGGCTAAGATCTCCAAATTTTCAGGCTATGGCTAAGATCTCAATAGCCATTGACACCTGATTTAAAATGTTCATGGCTATAGGCTAAGATCTCCAAATTTTCATGGCCAAAATAGGCTAAGATCTCCAATAGCCATTGACATCCTGATTAAAATGTTCATGGCTATAGGCTAAAATCTCCAAATTTTCATGGCTATAGGCTAAGATCTCCAATAGCCATTGACATCCTGATTAAAATGTTCATGGCTATAGGCTAAGATCTCCAAATTTTCATGGCTATAGGCTAAGATCTCCAATAGCCATTGACATCCTGATTAAAATGTTCATGGCTATAGGCTAAGATCTCCAAATTTTCATGGCCATAGGCTAAGATCTCCAATAGCCATTGACATCCTGATTAAAATGTTCATGGCTATAGGCTAAGATCTCCAAATTTTCATGGCTATAGGCTAAGATCTCCAATAGCCATTGACATCCTGATTTTAAAATGTTCATTGGGCTATAGGCTAGATCTCCAAATTTTCATGGCCATAGGCTAAGATCTCCAATAGCCATTGACATCCTGATTAAAATGTTCATGGCTATAGGCTAAGATCTCCAAATTTTCATGGCTATAGGCTAAGATCTCCAATAGCCATTGACATCCTGATTAAAATGTTCATGGCTATAGGCTAAGATCTCCAAATTTTCATGGCCAAAATAGGCTAAGATCTCCAATAGCCATTGACATCCTGATTAAAATGTTCATGGCTATAGGCTAAAATCTCCAAATTTTCATGGCTATAGGCTAAGATCTCCAATAGCCATTGACATCCTGATTAAAATGTTCATGGCTATAGGCTAAGATCTCCAAATTTTCATGGCTATAGGCTAAGATCTCCAATAGCCATTGACATCCTGATTAAAATGTTCATGGCTATAGGCTAAGATCTCCAAATTTTCATGGCCATAGGCTAAGATCTCCAATAGCCATTGACATCCTGATTAAAATGTTCATGGCTATAGGCTAAGATCTCCAAATTTTCATGGCTATAGGCTAAGATCTCCAATAGCCATTGACATCCTGATTAAAATGTTCATGGCTATAGGCTAAGATCTCCAAATTTTCATGGCCATAGGCTAAGATCTCCAATAGCCATTGACATCCTGATTAAAATGTTCATGGCTATAGGCTAAGATCTCCAAATTTTCATGGCTATAGGCTAAGATCTCCAATAGCCATTGACATCCTGATTAAAAATGTTCATGGCTATAGGCTAGATCTCCAAATTTTCATGGCTATAGGCTAAGATCTCCAATAGCCATTGACATCCTGATTAAAATGTTCATGGCTATAGGCTAAGATCTCCAAATTTTCATGGCCAAAATAGGCTAAGATCTCCAATAGCCATTGACATCCTGATTAAAATGTTCATGGCTATAGGCTAAGATCTCCAAATTTTCATGGCTATAGGCTAAGATCTCCAATAGCCATTGACATCCTGATTAAAATGTTCATGGCTATAGGCTAAGATCTCCAAATTTTCATGGCCAAAATAGGCTAAGATCTCCAATAGCCATTGACATCCTGATTAAAATGTTCATGGCTATAGGCTAAGATCTCCAAATTTTCATGGCTATAGGCTAAGATCTCCAATAGCCATTGACATCCTGATTAAAATGTTCATGGCTATAGGCTAAGATCTCCAAATTTTCATGGCCAAAATAGGCTAAGATCTCCAATCGTCAGATGAACACAGCAGTTCAAGGCGTCCGAAACCTCGTTGTGTAGCCGCAGCCGCAGCATGGGCTCCAGCGGCGCCAAGCACTGACGTTCCACGTCCCAGGCGAGTTCACGTGCCTGCAAAGCGGCAGCTGGGGACGGTCATCAGTGTTTTAATAGTGATTTAATAGTGATTTAACGTTGATTTAATAGTGATTAACATTGATTTAATAGTGATTAACATTGATTTAATAGTGATTTAATAGTGATTAATTGCCATGAATAGTGATTCATAGTCATAAATGTGGATAGTCAATGGGATATTCTCAACCATATGGAGTTTGAATGGGAAGATCATGGGATTTTCATGGACTCAACATGGTGGGGTGGTCAATTCGATGAATTTGACCATTGAACCTGGAAACATGGGGGATTTAACAAGATGATTTTAGCATTGAACATCATTTAAGATATTTGAATCATTGAAAAATGTGGATTTAAATTTAACGTGATTTAAAAATATAGGGATTTGACAAGAAAAAACTGAGCTGGGGAGGTTTAAAGCTTTGAACTTGCTACAGTAGGGATTAATCATGTTTTAACATGCTTTAGCGATTGAAAAGTGCAGAAAAAATGACATTTTTCATAACATTTTTGGGAATTCATAGACCTTGAAAATTGGGATCTAACCGGAAAAACAAGGACCCCGGGCAGGTTAAAGTACCAAAGAGCGCCCTTGGGAAATTCCCAGCATGGCAATATTGTGGAATATCAACTTCTTGATCTTTTTGCAGATCGTCTTTTCGCTGTGGCAATGGTGAAACAGGGTGAAACAGACTTCGTTGCCACATGTTTTCGTGATCTTTCGTGAGGGCGTCATGAATTTTATTCGGTTGGTTGAAGGGAAATGACAGGAAACCGTGGTTTATGCCACCCCAAATCCATTCCCCTTCTCACCAAACACCCCAAGCAACCTTGGTTTAGTGCTGGATGTATTCATTCTGGGGTCACACGGGGTCTATTTCTGAGGGGTCGATGGCATGAATCTTGCCTTAGAGCATGAGATTCTATTCCCATGAGTGGTTGGTGAATCACGTATATTTATGCATCGCTTATAGTTGAATTGCCAAGTTTTTGTTGGCCAAATCCACAAAAAATTGTCGGTGAAATCAGCATTTTTGCTGGTTACACCACAATTTGTCTTGGTGAAATCCACATTTTTTGGTTGCTGAAATCCCCATCAGCCACAAATGTCCCTGGAAATGGTTGAACCATGGGAGACTTCAACCCATCCACCTCTGACCGCGAGCGATAGTCCTACGAGTTGTTGGGGCAAAGTTCCAGCTGGGTAGAGAAACTCTCTGGGATACTATGATAGTCATATGGGAGATGTATCAAAACCCAGTAACCTCTGCTTATCACATCTTCAATAGCCGTTCTTGATGTTACAAATATATATTATATATATAAATATATATATAGTTAAATATATATATATATAATTATATATACATAATTCTATATTATATATGTAATTATATATATATATATCTTCTTTTTTTGCACTAATTTGATCTAATTTGGTATTTCAACATCTATTTTGAGAACATGTTTCATCTCATGCTCTCTCATGCTTTATCAGCCATCGGGCCTCCAAGTTCTCGGCCAAGGCGCGGATCACCTCGCTGAAGATCTTCTGCGCCGGCCTGGAATTCTGGGCGGCCCGAAGAAATGGAGAATGGAATCTATTCTCTTGTAACTTGGTTGTTTCAACAAACTTGGTTTCTTGCCTTGGGTGGGTATCCGCATCCTTGGTCCACTGGTCTGGCAACAAAGGGACACTTGTGTGTGTTGCACAACAGGAATCTTCTCACGATATGACAGCGCAGAGTCTTCCATCTGCAACATGGAGGCTGCTAGTTTACGAGGCAAAATGTGCGGAGACTGCCCTTGCTTGTCTTGGGCAGCATTATCTGATGTACCCCGTGCTTGGCGGAGCCTGCGTGTACACATCACAAGCCCTGCAGTCGATGTTTGCAGATTCATGAGATTTGACAGAACTCTTATAAAGAACCACAGAAACAATTCAACGCAGCCTGCTCCTAGGTGAAAGCAATTCCTTCCATGAAACAAAAAGCGTCATTGCCTTTGCCAAGACTCAACCGTGCACTTTGCTCATGGCGTTTGGCCGCCCAGAAACAAATCAGGATGGGCGAAGGAAAGGATCGATATGAAGTGTTCCAAGCACTTCGGCATGCTTCCAAACAAATCTTTTTTTGGTGGTACATTGAAGGGCTAAGCAAGCGTTGAAACATGATGAATGATGAAGTTCTCAAACACTGGCGACCTCTCGATCTCCTTTCAATCCAACCGCAGTTTCACAGTCTTGTGGAACTGACTGCTTCATTACCCATCATCTCACTGCATCTCACTTATAAGACTTCTGACAAATCTCACAAATCTGCAAACATCTACTGCAGCGCTTGTGATGTGTACACGCACGCCCTGTCGGGCACAGGGCACATCAGGCACTGATGTTGGCAATGATTGCCCGTTGCCTATGACAAGCAAGGTGTCTCCATACAGTAAACGCAAGTTGGAAAGGCCAGTTTGAAGCAGGCACGCTGAGAGGAGTGAGGGGTCTTCAAACAGTATATGTGCTGCAGGCAAGCTCCAAACGTTTACACATAATTCTTTATAATGACCAAACCCCTTCGTCCTCATGTTTTCAGCCGGGTGCAGTCACAATTTCCACGAAAGGCAAGAAACCAAGTCTGTTGAAACAACCAAGTTACAAGAGAATAGATTATGGACGACGTATTCATGGTATATGAATGGGATCATGGTGGGTTAATAGTGGTTACCCTCTGGTAATTTAACATAGCTATTGAAAATGGCCATTTATAGTGGTTTTTCCCATTAAAAATGGTGATTTTCCATAGCTATGTTAAATTACCAGAGGGTAATAGAGATTTCCTAATGATTAATAGTGATGATATTAATAGTGATTAATGGTAAAATGATGGGTTAGTGGTGGGTTAATAGTTCAATGGCCATGACTCAGGAACCGATTGAGGACGGAGGTACTGATTCCATAGAAAAAAGGCCTATTTTTCAGGCCTATGTAAGGGAATATCCCCACAAAATATGGCCAGAAATATGGTACAGTACCTCCATATTAGGATCCTGGATTTCCCATTGAATAGTGGTTAGTAATGGGATGATAATGGGATATATCCTCCAGTAAACTAACAGTTCGCTATGGAAGCCATGGCCCATAGAAATAGATGGTTTACCGAACTTAAACATTGTATTCTGTTAGTTTACCAAAGGGTAAGTAAGACAATGTCATAAACCAGCCATGACTGGGAATGGTAACCATGCCACCTAAAAAACGGGTGATGACTGGGGGATGGTTTATTGGTGTTTTACCCACAACAATCATTTCTATCATAGATAGTATTAGTGGGTTGAAATTTCCGATAAAACATGAACAGTTATAAAACAATAATTGATAACACAAGCCCGGCTGCAGTTTGTAGTATTCAAATGGGGATATATTAGTAAGAATTTGATTGTAAGTTCTATTTGTGTAGATTGATGTATATTGTAGATTGTCCTGAAATTACGCGGTAAGAATTGATTTGATTCAAAGCGGTCAAGAGTTTGATGTTTTGGCAAGTAATTGAACTCCAAATGCTACAGGGTTGACACACACACACACACGCACATTCATTCGTACATGAGTTGTTTCTGGTTGTTTCTGCACTGTAACCCTGCATATGGTTTGCGATTGTAATCCAAACTGATGCTGATCACATCTCACTTGGACTGGCAGCTGAGTGCTTGGTACATTGGGTGATACAGACTCATGACAGCCCATGGGGCTTCAAATATCGATAGTCATCACCTGGCGCCTTTTTTTCCATCAGTCATCAGCAAACACATTTTCCAACGTGGATCTACAATGCTTTGCTTGATAGGATCGTGGGATCCACCCATGATATCTTCGGTTCGGCCTCAGTTGCTGAAATTTCCCAAAGGGCCACGTCCCTTTGCCACGGTCCCGGTGCCTGCCACTCCGCAGATAGTGAAGACAGCGCTCTGCTGCCTGCGCCGCAAGTCGTTGAGCTTCGCATTTTTCAAACTGCTTCCGTTACAAGACATCTAGATACATTTGGGGGTTTCCAAAAATGGGGGCCCCTAAATCATCCATGTTAATAGGATTTTCCAATATAAACCAACCATTTATTCATGACTTTCCAGGCATGGCACATCATGTGTTTCGTCTTTTGCTCCCGTGTTTTTGACGTGTTGTCGACGTATCCATTTACGATGCCATGTTTGCAAATTTGCAAATCAGGTCCGATTGCACAAGAAGTGGGTTGTACCCTCTTTTACAAAGCAGAAAAAGAACCAAAGATGGTAGAGTTCCCACGGACGGAGATGATTTGCCCATGGAGAAATCCTTATCACGTATTCTCAGTTGACTTGCACCCCTATTTTGCCGTTGCTGGTTCCATTCCACCATCCAGTAAACCCCACACGTTTGCATGCGATGCCGTCGCCGTGTTTTTCAATCCTATGCAAATTTTGGTTGATCAAATTTCCTTTTCTGTTCACTGCTTCAATATATAATTATATAATATGTTGGTGAAGATGTCCTGAATCTTTGTTTCTTCAATTCCCATGTTTCATGGCTATTCAGCCAACCGCGGTGAAGTCGCAACCCCATCCCCATCATCGGCAGGTTTGATCCCTGTATATTCCCCAGATGTTACCATTGGGACGCTTTTGGGGTTAGCTGAATCTAGGACAATCTAGGGTTAGCTGAATCCCCTATTCAGAAAACAACGCCATGATATCTCAGATGATCAGCATTCTCGTTGAATCCCAACGATCAAATCCGTTAGGTTTCCTTTCATTTTACGCTCCGGTAAACCAACAGTTTGCTATGGAAAACGGCCGATTTATAATTGATTTACCTATTCAATTCAGGTGGTGATTTTCAACAGTTATATTACTTTACCACACGGTATCAAGACTGGTGATAATGATAATGCTTCGTTGCAAGACAATGGGATTAAATGCGGTAAACCCAATAATAAAACCATCCCCCAGTCATCACCATCTTAATGGGTGGAATTTCAACCATCCCCAAATGTAGTTGTTTATTGGCATTGAGTTGCCCACATTAGATGGGATTCGATGGAATATTTCCCTTTCAACTAATCCATTTCATGTTCATCAGATGTACAAATTGGAGTGTTATAATTAACTACTATACAAGTACTATTCTAATTATAATCCCTAATCATCATTGGTCACGATTGATCACTGTTAATCACTAGCAATCACTATTCACCACTGTTAAATCACTATCGATCACTATTAATCACTATCAACCATCCACCATTTATAGTTGATTGACCAACGATCATTTGAAAAACCGGGATTGCCACCGAAAAATCGCCGCCGCCTCCAGCTCAAAATGCAATGCGACCTCCTCGTGGAAGAGCTCTTGCACCTGACGGCAAGATCATGTCAGGTAAGAGTCGAGTCGGTTTGTCTTGTTTCGAATATGGAAACATGCGTTTTTATATATATATAGAAATATGACTATATAATTATATATGATAGTTATATTCAACATCCATATATATATATATGCTTAATTTTGAGAGTGGGACGCTGTGGAGGCATCATTTTTACGGCGTGTTTGTGTTGTTTTTGTCATTTTTATATGCATTTCCCATGTTTCTTTTACAATAATCACGTGTTATCCCTGAACAATCCTTCACACATACAAAAAATAGTTAGGGTGCAAGAGCTGGATACATCTCACAAGGAAAATTAAATTAAACCATTTCCAATATCATGCTAGTAGCAGTAGAAGTAGTAGCAGGGAAAGGGAAGACATACGAATGAATCGGGGAACCCAAAAAAGGCTCAGGGTCAGGATTTGGCGCCGGACCTTGTAAAACGAGCATTTTTTAGTATTGAAATCACCTCCTTTTTGGACCCTATTTTTTTAAATTTTTGGGTCGTTCGGGGAAAGGGAAAGGAGTAAAGGAAAAGAGAATGGAAAGGGACAGGGAGAGGAGAGGGAAAGGAGTAAAGGGAAAGGAGTAAAGGGAAGGGAGTAAAGGGAAAGGAGTAAAGGGACAGGGCGAAGGGAAACAGTAAAGGGATAGAGAGAAGGGAAGGGAGTAAAGGGAATGAGTAAAGGGAAAGGTCATTGAGAGTGTAGTGCACTACTCAACCTTATGAGAGAGCTGCTGGGTGTCTCACTCACACCAGCCAGGTAAGTCTACAATTATAGCTCAAGACATGAATGATAACCTGCCTTGTAACACACAACGCTTCTCCTATGATGTTTTTTAAAACTTAGGGGGGTGGCGGTACAAAAAATACGGCGCGGAAGGGAGGAAGCAGAAAGAGTAAAGGGAAAGAGGGAAGAGGGAAGAGGGAAGAGGGAAAGAAGAGGTTGAGAGTTTAGTGTAGAGGTTGAGAGTTTAGTGTACTGCTCAACCTTTGTGAGAGCAAGCTGCTGGATCACTGATCAGCACTAGCCAGGTAAGTTTGATTTTACACCCCAAAACATGAATGAGAACGTGCCTTGTAACACAAAACTCCCCTGCTTTGCACCTTCTAGGTGTCGCCCAGCTCCCGGAGAAGTTCTTGGATGCAGCTTTCCACGTAGCGCATTTCTTCGATGCGCCGAAGGGCCTTCAGCTGCCGAAGGTTCTGCAGCTCTTTCTCGATGCGGCGGTCCCGGGCCAGGCTTTGGTTTTGCCACCGTCTGCGCCACCCCTTCAGCTGGGTCTTCTGCACCACTGGCATGACACACAGTCAGCGAAGCGCTTGGGTCTCTTGATAAACAAATGGCTGCGAATGCGGGAATCATCATTCACGCCTACATGACCACACACGAGGCATCAGCAAGGCAAAGGAAAAGTTAAACTTATGTTGCAAAAATCCTCTGGAAAAATACGCATGCCAATCCCAAACTCTTCAATAGAAACAACTCTGCTTGGAATTAGCAGGACCCCAAAAAAGGGTAGGTTAGGGTCAAGCCTTACCCTCAATGACATCCCTATCACAAGGCACCATGGCAATGCATGCAGCATCCCATTTTTCTCCAATATTGAGACTCTAAGTGCTTTCATTTACTGTTCATGCCATGCTAAATAAAGGATGCTCTGCGGCGCGTTTCCTCAGCTAAATCAAAGAACCCTTCTGGTCAGACAGCTGTTTTCTTTTCTGGTGGCCAGCACTTCGTCCAAGGCACATGTCTGCTGGCTAGGGAGAAATCTCTTGAAATCTCGGGCCAAGCTCAACTGGCTTTGAAAAAACAAGCAGCCACCTGTGCACTATGTGGTTACATTGCCTTGGCTGATTTACAGAGATCCACGTCCTTCACTGGCCTGAAACCTTGCCGTTTGACTTCTTCTTCGTTCAAAAGTGAGTAGTCCAGCAGTGTCTGTCGAGCAGTATCTGTCGACACTTGTCCAAATGCTCAAAACTGTAGGTCTCTTTGGAGTGAGTCGCTGTTGGCGAGGAGGGGGCAAAGCTGGTATTCTTCACAGTGTTTCGCAGCTGTCGATGGGTGGTCTCCTCAAGGAGAACCTGGTGCCTCTGGTCGCTCAGGAGGACGATCATGTCCACTTGAAGCATCTTCGTTCCTTGTGGGAACTCGCTGGCGCACTGCTGGATCCGCGACTGTCGAAGAGACAGAAGAGAAGTATGGATTTTCGGTGCTTTTCAGATATTATATATGGTTGATGGAAATGAATTGTATTGCAGGTACCTTTTTTTTTGCCCCTTAAGGTTACCAGTTAGTTGTTTATAGCATTTTTTTGTCTTCGACTATGAGGGTGGATGGCCATATGTGCACAATTGTTCGCCCTCTTCGCGCTCTTGGGCAAGTCATTGGCTGGTGAAATTGATATCTTTCCAATCAATATGATTCATTTTTTCTTTATCATATTAGTTGGCTAAATAGGTGTTCGTTACCGGTCGCTTGTAGACTACCCAACCAATTGCTGGCTTAAAGGATGGGGCAACTCCCTTTTTAGGCTGTGTAATGACTCTATTTGTTTCAGCCCCCTTCATATTCCATCAGGGATGGTACCTCCATATGCCTTTGGTAAAAAAACACCCCCTCTCGTCAGTGATTCTCTCTCTTTTATGCAAGTGTTAATTTACCCATTATGTTCACCAAGGCAATCTCCAGCACCCCTAGTCGAGGCACTTCGCTTGCCGCGGACCCGCTTCATCGGGGCAAGCAGCAACTGTGGTGCGGCGCCAGGGCGAGGCAAGGTCTGAGAGCAGGAGCACCGCCCAAAGGCTAACGTTAAAAACTGAAACTGAAGGAGTGGATTGCATTTATGTCGAATCTATTCCAAAACAGCCGGGTCAGAAAAGGTCATGGGAAATCGGTATTGTTGCCTTGGGTGCTTTTGACGCGATTTGTAGCATCATCTAATCACGGGGCAGAAGCTATTAACGGATTGAAAGAGCAGACAAATCCCCAACAACACACATCAAAATCCGATCAAACCAAGTTGAACTTTGATTCCAAACCAATATTCCACCTACATTTGGACATATCGCCTGGCTACAATTTGGCGGGAATGCAAATATACACCTATGTAATAATGCAATCCATGAATATTTACATCGATATCTGCACTCTATGTTTTTATTTTGGCTGCGTTCTATTATACGGTAGAACGTATACTATATAACATTTTGCATAAAATGCAAACAATATGTTGTATTATGCGTCAAATTCATTGATCGTAAATATGCAACCTGGCTTGTTCATCTTACGACATGCCTACCTATATATATATATAGTGATATTTAGAAAAAAATCTTAGGAGACGAATGCTCAAACATAAGAACAGGCCACCTCCAGCATGATGGGGAAAAAGGGCCAGAAACCTAGCTGGATGTAGGGAATGACACGACATTATTTACGGGCTGTCGCATGGTGGGTATGTAAAAAGTGACGATGGGATTCTTCAGCCATGCTTGAATATATTGAAAAAAATCATCTTCATCAAGATAACTGTGGACACAGAAATGGCTCTTATGGCGAAAAGGGAACAAAATTATATACTCGTGGGGGCTATATGTATCGATATACCTATGTACATACGTGTATACGCACATGCACCCAGCCATACATGCACGCGATCTTGCCTTGAATGCACGCGCTGGCTTCAGCGCATGCTTGATGACCTGCTTCGAGGCCTGGAGGGCACGGGCAGGGACATCGGGTAGCCAACTCAGGGTCAGAAGAGCAACATGGAAAGAAGGCGAGCGACGCACGCCTCCATGCGGCTCATGGTTGCTTGCCGCACTAGCGGTCGATCTGCCGCCTGCCGCCCGTCATCTCTCTTACCCATCTCGCTTACTTCCAAACACCGTACCCTAAGAGCAGGGAATCTTCTGTGTCTGTCTTTGATTAGATAGGTCCAGACTTTTGTCTTCGCAATATTTGGGGGGTGGCTAAATAAGAATTTTACCATCAAGGTACCAAGCTCACAAGGGAAAAAAATGGCCCCGTTCAAAGCTTTCGGGGAAATGTCTTCAGGTGGGGGGCGCTATGTTCCAATGATCTTATTCACACTGGCCTTCGGGGTCGCTCCATCGTGCCCCAGGACCTGCGACCAAGCGCCGGCAATGGACGTTGCCTAACGAAGGGCTGAGGCAAGCTGGTTGCGAACCTATCTTATTGTGTAGCATAAAATCCCCTAAGTGCAATTTTGGACCTACGGGTGTCCGAGCAATGTCGGATCCATCGGTCGTGATAACCAACTCCCCCACGGGACCTATTGTTTCCGCTAAGCAGTGTAATGCAGTTTACGGGTCCGGTTTTTCCAGTATTCCCGGGAGTATTTTTTTTCCTGGGGATACCCTCCTCTGAAAACGTCTTTGAGGGGAGTTGGGTAGACTATAATCTAGAGAATCCGGTGACTTTAGTATGTCAAAGCTGGTTTCCTCGGGTCTGGGGGGGGGTCACCACACATTTTTTTTTGGAGATTTTTTTTGGGGGGGACCCCCCCTCAGAGAGGTCTAGAAGGTAAAAACCAGAGCTTTAAGGTTTCCAGAGGTCTCGAGGAGCAGGAAGAGAGAAAGGGGAAAACATATCTAGACAGAAAGCTTAGTAGCAATAGTCAAATCCAAAATGTGAGCCATATCTGTCCATTCCTCTTTCTGCATTAAGCTGATATGGCCGAAAATTGATATTCTACGTTTGTATATTAGCAATTTTTAGCACAAGAAAATATAGAATGACTCATATTTTTTTGGTTGATCTTCATTACCCAATTCAAACATGTTTAAACATATCACAAAGATAATTAACACAATGAACATTTGATGATATAGTGACCAAAGATCCTTTTTAGTGACTTTTCAAAACACCGTTAAAAATGGACCTCCACAACGTCCCTTTCTGTAAATATTTATATATATATATAGAATATACGTTGAATACACACTGATGATCATATAATTTTACTATGTGGGCAACGCTATCATACATACATATGAATGATCATGTATGATCATATATGTATATACAAACACATGTCTATATTTTTCAATCAATTATGACCTACCTACAAAAAACATAGAACCCATAGACCCATAGATTCGTGGTATGGCCTTGTGATGGAAATCGCCGTCCAGTTTCGCCTCATCTTCCTCCGCGCGAAGGAAGCGTTCCTGGAAGGTAAAAAGATGCAGAAGAGGTTCAACTCATCATTGGACTGATGGGACTGTGTATACTATGATTTGTGGGTTGAACCCCTGTGGGGTTACTATATTTTTACCCACAAATCATAGTAACCCACAAATCATACTAACTATTATATACTAGGTTTCTATCTTTTTTGTGGGTTACTATGATTTGTTATTAGGGTTAACCCCTTCTCCGCATTGGCAAATACCTCCAATAAGTGATCCCAGAATGAATAGACCCAATACTGGAGCAAGGGTTTCGTTTAGGGAGTAAAAAGTAAAAATAATATTAGGGGGATCAAATTATCTATTTATTCCTAAACATATAAAACTAAATAGTTATTAATGCTCTTGTAGCTCCTGGTTAGTAAGGATGATTGTTGGTAAACTGAAGCTGAAGGATCGCTAGTCGGATAGTCAGTTGGTTTAATATTCTCTGGACTTTGTGTAGATTCCCAAAGATGTTCCCCACAAGTTCCCTCAAATCCTCAAAATATATGGTTTTACTATGGTTTACTGTCGCATAATAAAACATGCAATCCATCCGTGCAAAAAAAAAGACTTGAACCGTTTGATCCCCCAAGATGGGATGTTTTACTTCCAAAAAGCAACGCTCTACACACCCACATAAAGTAAGTTTTAGCCATACCCAATTTGGGATCTAGTTTTGACTGTAGCCTTTTGTTGCTAGGTCCAAAAATTGTTTCAAAAATATTGGGGTAGCCATGAGCAGGGATGGTTTTCTCGGCCAAGTTCAATGAGTTCAATGTGCAGCTCCACGGTCCCAAAATCTACGTGAATGTCGGCTTCTGACATTCTGCGATAACTGATCAGTATCTAGAGCCTTATTTTATCATATAATTCCCTTCCACTGGTTGATGACATATTTTAATCATGTAGTAAACCCAATCATAAACCATAAACCATCCCCCGGTCATCACCATTCTTATGGCTGGGATTTCAACCTAAGTGTAGTTCTTTAATGTTTCTTATGGCATTGAGTTGTCCACATTCCATGGCTAGTAATTTTCGTAAACCCACTACATCCCACTACCATAAACTTCCAATTCGGGATTGACCGCGCACTGGGATCCAGACCAACAAATGTGCCCACCTAATCCATGGCTGAAGACTGACCGAGCCCACGACATGGGAATCGTCTGAGGGAATGTCTGCAACCGAAATCCCCGTGCGAAAGGTTGCAGAAATCCAACATTGAAAATAATCATACTGGAAAAATGCACATATATATATAATTAATATAATATTTATCCTGGTATACACTCAAAATATACAACACATATCCCAAAAAATGTCCTGGTATATGTCAACAACCGCATATTTATTTGATATATGATATAGGCATAATTTAATTTACTAAACGCGAATTAATGATATTGGAATTTTCATGCTCCATCGCTCAAATCCCTGGGATATCTGGATATATTTGGATACATCTTCCAATAATTCACGAACTTGAATCGAGATGAACTAAGGTATCTAAGGTCATGAAACCAAAATCCCAAAGCCAATGAACATCAATGAAATATGGTCATGAAACATGTCATTACTATCAACACAGGATTTTTTTTAAACCCAAAGATGTATCCATATTGAAAGGGGTATCACCGAAAAGTATTAAGACTCTTGGGAACCCAGGCATTGGTTCCAGTAAAATTCTTTAGCTAAGCTGTACCAAATGCTCGCGAGCCTTACCTTAATCCGTAATCCCGGAATCCGTCTCAGAAGCCCCAAAGAGTCGAATCCGTAATCCGAGACCTAATCCGTAATCCGGTTTAAAGCATAGATAGGACGGTGACGTTTCCAATCTGGGAACCAGAAATCATGGCGAAAGTGCTTCGGCCGGGTTTGGCAGTGGACTTGCCAGAGCAAAGCCCTTTTAAGCAGAAATCAGGCCGAAAGTGCTTCAAAGGGGTTTGGCGGTGGACTTGCCAGAGCAAACCCCTTTTAAGCAGAAATCAGGCCGAAAGTGCTTCAAAGGGCTTTGGCGGTGGACTTGCCAGAGCAAAGCCCTTTTAAGCAGAAATCAGGCCGAAAGTGCTTAAAAGGGCTTTGGCGGTGGACTTGCCAGAGCAAAGCCCTTTTTAGCAGAAATCAGGCCGAAAGTGCTTAAAAAGGGCTTTGGCGGTGGACTTGCCAGAGCAAAGCCCTTTTAAGCAGAAATCAGGCCGAAAGTGCTTAAAAGGGCTTTGGCGGTGGACTTGCCAGAGCAAAGCCCTTTTAAGCAGAAATCAGCCCGAAAGTGCTTAAAAGGGCTTTGGCGGTGGACTTGCCAGAGCAAAGCCCTTTTTAGCAGAAATCAGGCCGAAAGTGCTTAAAAGGGCTTTGGCGGTGGACTTGCCAGAGCAAAGCCCTTTTAAGCAGAAATCAGGCCGAAAGTGCTTAAAAGGGCTTTGGCGGTGGACTTGCCAGAGCAAAGCCCTTTTTAGCAGAAATCAGGCCGAAAGTGCTTAAAAGGGCTTTGGCGGTGGACTTGCCAGAGCAAACCCCTTTTAAGCAGAAATCAGGCCGAAAGTGCTTAAAAGGGCTTTGGCGGTGGACTTGCCAGAGCAAAGCCCTTTTTAGCAGAAATCAGGCCGAAAGTGCTTAAAAGGGCTTTGGCGGTGGACTTGCCAGAGCAAAGCCCTTTTAAGCAGAAATCAGGCCGAAAGTGCTTAAAAGGGCTTTGGCGGTGGACTTGCCAGAGCAAAGCCCTTTTAAGCAGAAATCAAGCCGAAAGTGCTTAAAAGGGCTTTGGCGGTGGACTTGCCAGAGCAAAGCCATTTTTAGCACAAATCGGGCCGAAAGTGCTTAAAAGGGCTTTGGCGGTGGACTTGCCAGAGCAAAGCCCTTTTAAGCAGAAATCAGCCCGAAAGTGCTTAAAAGGGCTTTGGCGGTGGACTTGCCAGAGCAAAGCCCTGTTTAGCAGAAATCAGCCCGAAAGTGCTTAAAAGGGCTTTGGCGGTGGACTTGCCAGAGCAAAGCCCTTTTAAGCAAAAATCAGCCCGAAAGTGCTTAAAAGGGCTTTGGCGGTGGACTTGCCAGAGCAAAGCCCTTTTAAGCAGAAATCAGCCCGAAAGTGCTTGAAAGGGCTTTGGCGGTGGACTTGCCAGAGCAAAGCCCTTTTTAGCAGAAATCAGGCCGAAAGTGTTTAAAAGGGCTGTGGCGGTGGACTTGCCAGAGCAAAGCCCTTTTTAGCAGAAATCAGCCCGAAAGTGCTTAAAAAGGCTTTGGCGGTGGACTTGCCAGAGCAAAGCCCTTTTTAGCAGAAATCAGCCCGAAAGTGCTTAAAAGGGCTTTGGCGGTGGACTTGCCAGAGCAAAGCCCTTTTAAGCAGAAATCAGGCCGAAAGTGCTTCAAAGGGCTTTGGAGATGCACTTGCCAGAGCAAAGCCATTTTTAGCAGAAATCAAGCCGAAAGTGCTTAAAAGGGCTTTGGCGGTGGACTTGCCAGAGCAAAGCCATTTTTAGCACAAATCGGGCCGAAAGTGCTTAAAAGGGCTTTGGCGGTGGACTTGCCAGAGCAAAGCCCTTTTAAGCAGAAATCAGCCCGAAAGTGCTTAAAAGGGCTTTGGCGGTGGACTTGCCAGAGCAAAGCCCTGTTTAGCAGAAATCAGCCCGAAAGTGCTTAAAAGGGCTTTGGCGGTGGACTTGCCAGAGCAAAGCCCTTTTAAGCAGAAATCAGGCCGAAAGTGCTTAAAAGGGCTTTGGCGGTGGACTTGCCAGAGCAAACCCCTTTTAAGCAGAAATCAGGCCGAAAGTGCTTCAAAGGGCTTTGGCGGTGGACTTGCCAGAGCAAACCCCCTTTTAAGCAGAAATCAGGCCGAAAGTGCTTAAAAGGGCTTTGGCGGTGGACTTGCCAGAGCAAAGCCCTTTCAAGCAGAAATCGGGCCGAAAGTGCTTCAAAGGGCTTTGGAGATGCACTTGCCAGAGCAAAGCCATTTTTAGCACAAATCAGGCCGAAAGTGCTTAAAAGGGCTTTGGCGGTGGACTTGCCAGAGCAAAGCCCTTTTTAGCAGAAATCAGGCCGAAAGTGCTTAAAAGGGCTTTGGCGGTGGACTTGCCAGAGCAAACCCCGTTTAAGCAGAAATCAGGCCGAAAGTGCTTAAAAGGGCTTTGCCGGTGGACTTGCCAGAGCAAAGCCCTTTTAAGCAGAAATCAGGCCGAAAGTGCTTAAAAGGGCTTTGGCGCTGGACTTGCCAGAGCAAACCCCTTTTAAGCAGAAATCAGGCCGAAAGTGCTTAAAAGGGCTTTGGCGGTGGACTTGCCAGAGCAAAGCCCTTTTAAGCAGAAATCAGGCCGAAAGTGCTTAAAAGGGATTTGGCGCAGAACAACACGCGCGGAACCCGCGCGAAACGCAGACGCGCATGACGCGCGGAACCCGCGCGTACTATTCATACTTCTAGTAGTAGTAGTAGTAGTAGTAGTAGTAGCAGTAGTAGTAGTAGTGGTTGGAAGGGTAATAGGAGAAGTAGTAGTAGTAGTAGTAGCAGTAGCAGTAGTAGTAGTAGTGGTTGGAAGGGTAATAGGAGAAGTAGTAGTAGTAGTAGTAGTAGTAGAAATGATACTAATCGTAATATTTGTTAAGTTGCAATTAATAGAAATAGTAATAATATTCGTCTCAATATATAAATTTCTTGAAGAAATTTGAATGCGACGACGCGCGCGGAACCCGCGCAGAACAACACGCGCGGAACCCGCGCGAAACGCAGACGCGCATAACGCGCGGAACCCGCGCGTACTCATACTTCTAGTAGTAGTATAGTAGTAGTAGTAATAGTAGTAGTAGTAGTAATAGTAATGATATCATAGATATAGTAGAAATGATACTTATCGTAATATTTGTTAAATTAGAATTAGTAGAAATAGTACTCTAATATTCGTCTCAATATATTAATTTCTTGAGAAATTTGAATGCGACGACGCGCGCGGAACCCGCGCAGAACAACACGCGCGGAACCCGCGCGAAACGCAGACGCGCATAACGCAGACGCGCATAACGCGCGGAACCCGCGCGTGCTCATACTTCTAGTAGTAGTATAGTAGTAGTAGTAGCAGCAGGAGTAGTAGTAGTAGTAGTAGTAATGATATCATAGATGTAGTAGAAAAGATACTAATCGTAATGTTTGTTAAATTACAATATAATTAATTAGTAGAAATAGTAATAATATTCGTCTCAATGTATTAATTTCTTGATGAAATTTGAATGCGACGATGCGCGCGGAACTCGCGCAGAACAACACGCGCGGAACCCGCGCGAAACGCAGACGCGCATGACGCGCGGAACCCGCGCGTACTCATACTTCCTTCTAGTAGTAGTAGTAGTAGTAGTAGCAGTAGTAGTAGTAGTAGTAGTAATGATTTCTGCTAAAAAGGGCTTTGCTCTGGCAAGTCCACCGCCAAAGCCCTTTTAAGCACTCTCGGCCTGATTTGTGCTAAAAATGGCTTTGCTCTGGCAAGTCCACCGCCAAAGCCCTTTTAAGCACTTTCGGCCTGATTTCTGCTTAAAAGGG